CCTTTCCTTTCCTTTCCTTTCCTTTCTTTTCCTTTCCTTTCCTTTCCTTTCCTTTCCTTTCCTTTCCTTTCCTTTCCTTTCCTTTCTTTTCCTTTTTCCCTCCTTCCTTCCTTCCTTCCTTCCTTCCTTCTTTCCTTCCTTCCTTCCTTCCTTCCTTCCTTCCTTCTTCCCTCCCTCCCTCCCTCCATCCCTTCCTTCCTTCCTTCTCTTCTTCTTATAAAAGCATACAATGCCCTGGGGCTTGCCCGGTGGCATAGTTGTTAAGTTCACACGTTCCACTTTGGCAGCCCAGGGTTCACTGGTTCAGATCCTGGGTGCAGACCTACTCACTGCTCACCAAGCCGTGCTCATCAAGACCACATAGAAGAGCTACAACTCTACAACTGTGATACACAACTATATATTGGGGCTTTGGGGAGAAAAAAGGAAAAGAGGAAGATTGGCAACAGATGTTAGCGCAGGGCCAATCTTCCTCAAAAAAAAAAATAGCATGTCTGGATGAAGTCTTTAAGATATATATATATACACACAATGCTCATTGGTTAAAAAAATAAATTTATAAAATCCAAAGAAGTATAAATACAAACTACAAATCACTGTAATCCCACCACCCAGGCATCACCCTTGTTCATACTTTGGGGCTTATATGCCCGGATATTTTTCTACCAGTTATTTACATATAGTTTTTTTAAACAAACATAGACCCATACTATAAATATTATCTTGCAATCTGCTATTTTATTAGCCAAAGACATCACTAGCACAAGCTAACATTTTATTGAGCACTCACTATGCTCCAGGTACAATGCCAGGTGCCTCCCTTGTATTATCTCATTTCATGCTCTCAGCAGCCCCATGAGGGAGGGTCTCCTGTTAATCCCATTTTACAGATGAGAAAATTGAGTCTCAGGGAGGTTGGACATTTCTCTGTCAGTAGGTGTAGCTCCATGGTATGTTGTTTGAGGGCATCAAGGATGCATCATGATACATGTAACCATCCTCTTTAGGTGGTCATTCTGGAAGCTTGTCTGATTCTTATCCAAGGAGACGAGATCTTTGCCCCTTCCCTTTTCAAGGTTCCATTTTTATACTGGGCCATGATGTGAAGGAAGCCCTGTTCCATTCGTCTAGGTAAAGAAAGTGCCTTGAGGAGTGCTTCACTTCTTCCTTTGGTCCATGGGCAGAGTTAGTCCTGTTTGTAGCCTCGGAATTCTAAATCGCTCCTGCCCCATACAGGGAGGGCTGGGGTGTCAGGTATCATAAGTGTCCACCTTCCCAGGCTTTCTTTGGTGCTTGCCCAGGGCCAGACATGCAGAAACCCCCCACCAAATTCTCTGTATCCAAATTTTTCCAGAGGCTGGCTTCAAGGCCTCACAGATTGTGGATATGAGCCCAGTCACTGGTTCTATGGAATTCTTGCCATGGTGGCAGCCTCTTGGTGAACATTCCTAAGGGGCAGGTAGCCCGGGCCTGCCTCCTGCCCCAGGGCTTAATCAGTTAGTGGCGGGGCCGTTGTTGGGAGAGTTGATACGAAACTTTCACCTTTGCTTTGATTCTCTCACTATCTCATATTAAAACTGAACAAATTCAGCTGTCTTATTTTGTTCACCTTCCACCCACAACCATGTACTGACTGCCTATTAGGTGTCAATCAATGCTGCAGCACTTTACAGTTTATCATAAATCATCTTTCTCAACAAGCTCCGAGAAAAGTATTATTACTGAACCCATTTTACAGACGGGGAAATTAAGATTCGTAGGAGTTAAATGATCCCCTGCAATCGTGTAGCTCCTGAGCAGTGGAGCCATTGTGTCTACCTGGGATATTTGAGGTCCTGTATTGTTTTTTTTCTAGCATTCCTTGGAAGCTGCTGACATATGAATATTTATACTTTACAAGAGCAGAATCTGCAGAACCTCAGGCCGGCTCATGACGCTGACAAAGCCACACCTTGGCCTTTTCGCTCTGGTATTTTCATAATCAACGATGCATCTGTTTCCAGTGCCCCAACCCCTCACTCCCACCACCTAGTCTTTTCAGAACCTCTTTGCTCTGTCTGTCTGTCCTCCAGTGTGTGTCTACAATCCTGATGACTCTTGTCTTGGTTCTCTGTCTTTAACCCCATATTCTTTCTCCAGCTGTTTATATTACAGGGCTTTGCACAGACTTTCATGATGAATTTTCCTTGTAGACGCTTTCCCTGCATGGAATATAAATGACTGTGGCGTGTTTTCTGGCAGGAAGCCTTCATGAAATTCACTTAATGAGAAATTCTCAGGGAGAGTTTAGTTTCTAAATTCAAGCAGGGAAATAGAGCTATCTCCTCCCCCCACCCCCCACTCATTTAAGTTAATTAGCAGTTGCTTTGGCATCCAAAAACATAAACTCTCTAAGGCTGTTTAAGAAGTGAATTTGGGGGCCACCCTGGTGGCATAGCGGTTGGGTTCACGCGGTCCGCTTTGGTGGCCTGGGATTTGCAGGTTCGGATCCCCGGTACAGACTGACACACCACTTGTCAAGCCATGTTGTGGCAGTGTCCTATATAAAGTAGAGGAAGATAGGCATGGATGTTAGCCCAGGGCCAGTCTTCCTCAGCAAACAGAGAAGGACTGACATCGGATGTTTGCTCAGGGCTAATCTTCCTCACCAAAAAAAAAAAAAAAAAAGAGGAAAAAGTGAATTTGTGCCTCTTTTATACATTGCTGATGGGAGTATAAAAAGGTGCATATTTTTAAATTAAAAAAAATGTTTTTGGTGAGGATAGATAGTTTGGCAGTACATTACCAAAACCCTTTAAAAAATGTGTATACTCTACGACCCAGAAATTCCAATTCAAAGAATTTCTCCTAAGAAAATAAAGATATGCTCAAATATTTAAGATGTTATGAAGATTTTCATCACAGCATCACTTATATTAGCAAACATCTAAAACAACTTAGATGTTCAATGCTAGAGGATTTAAAAAATAAGTTATATCACATTAATTCATAGAACTCTACGTAGCTGTTAAAATGGTGTTTTAGAAGTATAGTTCTTGAAATGGAAATATACTCACAATATATATTCTAGTGAAAAAAAAAGACTACAAAACAATATGATTTCCTTCTTGGTTAAAATAAAAAAGAAAAGAAAAAGAACAAAGAAATAGGATACATGTGTGCAGAGAGAAGAGTCTGGAAGGAGATGGTAATTTCTGAGTAGTTAGATTACGATTCCATCTTCTCCTCTTTTTGCTTCTCTGTAATATTTATTTTACTGACAATGAAGTGTATTCCTCCTGTAACAAAGAATAAAAGAAGATTTATTTAAAGCAAGTCAACAGAAGGCTTTTCTTCCCTTTTTGTTAATCTCTTCTCAGTCGAGTATGTGCTTAATGCTGGTTGCCTCTGCAAGGGGAAGAGATCTCAAGATCAAGCTGGACTTTTCCGGTTAGATAATGTCCACTCATGTGTCTCCTTTGTTTGAGTCTGGCTGTGGTTGAACTTGGACTTGCCTCTTGTGTTTCTGGTATCTTTAGGACAAGTACTTGGGAAGATAGTCTGAATTTGTCCAGCTCCTCTAGACTGATCAAATTCAGTGCTTCTTAGATTTTTTTTTCTGCTTTTGACCATGGCCATTAGTCACAGGCAAAGAGCAGGGGCATACAGGAGTGTTAGTCCAGGGACAGTTTGCATATATGACTAATTTTATTGTCTCTTCCTCAGTCAGGTCCCAGTGAGGTTCCTCAGGATATAAACAGCACTTTATCCAAGAATGGGTCTTAACTTTGGTGACTTGGAGGATTCTGGTAACTTATGATTTGGTTATCAACTTGTCTGCTGAATAAAAATAATATAGAATCAGTTATGGTCACGTTAAGATGTTTATTTATTTAAACGATGTGTTAATAAACTTGGGCCATAACTCAGAGAGAGATATTATTAATTGAGATTTAAAACTCATTGGAAACTGAAACCAAGGGATAAATGTCAATTATTTCATCATCATTATCATCATTATTATTATTTATTGGCTAATCCCATGGTTCCCAAATTGTGTGCTAAGGTGCCACAGGGCACTGCTGTGAACTCACAGGGGTGCTGTAAGCTATTTTAATTTTTTTGATGGAAGCAGTGATACATAACATCTGCCAGACACTGTGCAAATTACTAGCTTGAGGTAGTTCACGGTTTCAAAATTTTATGATGCTTCATTCCTTTTGAATGTCCTGTCATTGCAAAGCTGGGATTTCTGCAGTTGCTGTGATAAAAAGCAAGTACCACACAAAATTAATGTGAAACAGGAACGAAGGTGGTGATGTCAATCTGATTCTTAGGTGTGAGAAGTTGTGCAATCCCCAGTAGGCACTAAGTTGTTAGGACGTAAATACTTACTAAGTTGTTTGGACCTATCTACTTAATAAATAGGACTTGAGCTATTTCTTTTGGCCTAGGGGTGCTGTGGAAAAATTATTGAGACACAAAGTCACCGTGAATTGAGAAACTTTGGGAACCTCTAGTTTACTGATGACCATACTAGCTTTTCTTCAAAAAGTCGGCTATGTGATTCTCTGGAAAAAGTGCAAAGGAACTACTCACAGACCCATCATGAATGCCATAGTATTGGGGGTGGGGCACACTGAGCAGAGGAGGGAGAGGGTAGATTGGGCTAATTACTCAGGAGGTGAAAACTGGCTACCTGTTGGGCTCATAGATGGTTTTTGTTTGTTTTGTTTTGTCTTTGCTGAGAGAGCGAGTGTGTGTGTGTGTGCGCGCGTGTGTTTGAATGCCTTCCGATGGATCATCTCCCCAGTTTACAATAGGCTCCTCCACTCCTGTTGTTACATTTGTCCCACCTCATTCGTTCAGGGTATCTACTTGGCCCGAGAAAGCATTTAAGTTTCTTACCCCTTGTGGGAGAAGACAAAGCCTCAAAGCCAACTGATTCCCTGGGCGATCTCAGCCCAGATCACATACTTAACCCCTCCCATGTTCGTCACCCTCCACTATACCCCTCTGCTTCTTTAGCTGGAAAATGAGGGAGAATGAAGACAACTCTGGCCTTGTGTTAGTGGCTCGTATTCAGAGATGAAAGGCAGAGCTCAGCCCTCAAGGAACTTATGGGGGAGTGAGGGAGGTGGACAAATGAACCACCAATGACAGTACAACAGTACAAAGTATCTAAAACAAGTCAACAGAAGGCTTTTCTTTCCTTTTTGTTAATCCCTGGCACGATGGGATGGGCCATAGGAATCAGTCGTGGGTGGGGTCACAGGACACTGAGGAGAAGGGTTACCAGCTCAAGGCTTCAGTGAGGGAGGTGGTCAAGTATGACCAGGGGTCATTAGGCTTGAGTTGAGCCTTAAGAGATGAATAGGGAGTGAGCCAGGTGAAGACGAGGCTGGAAGGGAGTGCGATGGGAAATGCAAAGATGAGAAGTCATGAAAGAGCAGACTGGGGTTGAGAGACTTGACAGGGGCGGCTGAGATGCTAAATCTTGAGTCCATAAAACCACAAGGGGAAGACTTTCAGGGCAGACATGTCACTCTGGAACAGTGTGGAGGGGGATGGTGGCACCAGGTGGAAGAAATGGGAGGCAGGGTAGGAGAGGAGAGAAATTTAGGAAGACCGAATCTGGTGTCTAGGTGGATGTGGGGATGTGGGTGAGGGAGAGGGAAGAGTCAAAGATGACTCCTGGTTTCTGAGAGGACAATGGTGCCAATACTGAGCCACTAGGGGAAGAGCCTGTTGGGAAGCCGAGGACGATAGGATAAAAATGTCACTTGACTCTATGCCAGCCGATTATATAATTGCCTCATCTTTAGCAGATTCTAAGTTTTTTAGGGCAGAGACTGTGTCTTGCTCATCTTTGTATCCCCTTCAATTCCTCCCTAATGCAAATCCTGGCACACAATAAATGCTCAATAAAATTGAGTACATTGAAGAAGAGGAAGGCCTTTTTAGAACCAAAGGAAGTGGTACAGATACACAATTAGTAGTTGTTAGACAACCCAATTATCTGGAAAGCCCAAAAAGTGTGTGCTGTATATACAAGGTTCTATGGGACAGGGTAGTTAATGTCAGACAGAAAAAACTCCCAAAGCATCGGTATAGTAGCAGAGCATCTGCCTACCCAATGTCTTCAACTCTTGACCCCCAGGCACCTGAGTAGGACAGTGAAGGCCCTGTAAGTCTTCTGGCCCTTCTCTGACACATTGTCGAGCCCTCTTAGGTGCTGCTTGTCTCTGAGATCTGCGTAGTCTTAGAAGCATGCAACTATCCATCCGGCAAGGCATGAAACCTCAGGATGAGCATATTGCGTCCTCTTGAAATGTCAACCTCACTTGAAGATTTTGAAAAACTTTCACATTTGTATTAAAACCAGTGTGATTAGATTGTGGAGTGAATGTAAAATTTGTATGTATCTTTAAAATAGAACATAAGATGCCAAAGAAATTCTGTTCCTTGGTGCAGGCCATTATGGGCACTTCAGTGGAAAGGTCTGAGGATCATGGTCTGAGATGAGAACAAGGCCACCTTTGTGCTTACAGCTAACTGGGGGTCACCATTGTTTTTTCTTCTCAGGTTACAGGATCTCTCCTTCAGGAGACAACTCGGAAGTGGGCTCAGTACAAAGAGAAGTGTCTGAGAGACTTACTCAAGAAACCTTCTGGTAAGCACATGTTTTAGTTATCCATGGCTGTGTAACAAATAGCCCCAAAGCTTAGGGGCTTAAAACAACAATAATAATTTATTATCTCTCATGCTTCTGTGGGTCAGGAATTCAGACAGAGCACCTTGGAGTTGGCTTGTTTCTGCTCTTCAATGTCTGGAGTTTAGCTACTCAAAGGCTGGGAGCTGGAATCCTCTGAAGTCTGCTTCACACTCATGTCTGCTGGTCGATGCTGGCTCTCAGCTGAGAGCTGAGCTGGGACTGTCGGCCAGAACCCTTCCACATGGCCTCTCCATGTGGCCTGGGTTTCCTCACAGCATGGCGGCTGGGTTCCAAGGACAAGCATGACCAGAGACCATGTTGCTTTTTATGGCCTAGCCTTGGAAGTCACTTCTGCCATGGTCAGTTAGGTCAGACAGTAACAAAGGCCTACCCAGGTTCAAGGAAACAGAATATAGACTCCCACCTCTCGTTGTAAAATAGCATGTGAGATGGGATACATATGCGTGTGGCCATCTTTGATAAAAGCCCTCTGTCACAGCCTACTCACAACCTAATCACATGACATGAGTAGCTGTCATAGATTAACCTGGGAATCTACTGGATGGAAGGGGTGGTCCTCAGACTCCCACAATATTAACTGAACCTGAGTCATAACATTTTTCTTATCCAGGTCTACACTAAGTTTAGAGCATTCTAGTAAATATATTAATAGTTTGATCAGTCCACAGCCTCTCCTGCCCACACACTGCCTCTTTGGGTGCATCCAGATTCTTTTTTTTGTCCTGCTGAGGAAGATTTGCCCTGAGCTAACATCTGTTGCCCATCTTCCCCATTTTTTTTTTTTTCTGCTTGAGGAAGATTAGCCCTGAGCAAACATCTACGCCAATCTTCCTCTATTTTGTATGTGGGTCACTACCACAGCATGGCTGACGAGTGGTGCAGGTCTGTGCCTGGGATCTGAACCCGTGAACCTAGGCTGCCAAGGTGGAGTGCCCCGAACTTAATCACTATGCCAGGGGCCAGCCCCGAGATTCATTTTTTTTTTTAACGGAAAACAGAATAATAAGGAGCCTTGGCCCATTGTCTCTGAGCACTAGAGACTGGAGATGAAAGCTGCCCCCCTCCTTGTTCTATTGGCTTCTTTAAGATCATTTCATTCAAGGGCCTGGAGGTTGACAGGACACTATAAACTCTCCTTTCCTTTTCCTGCCTCCAAGGCAGTCCCAGCCTCAAAGCTATACTCTTCTCCCTGTACCTATTCCTTCAGCCCAGGCAGGTGGCAATTGAAGAACTACCTGTCTGTTACAAGAACTGCCTCCTGCTTTCGGGAATACTGCTTTCTGAGGTCAAAGTAGGGCAAGTCTTCTTTGTCTGGAGACATACTTTGAGCAGCACGCAGACCAGGTGCCAACACCTGGGAGCCAAGTCCACATGGTGCCCCAAGCCAGCTCATAAGCTAGCAGACCTGTTTGTAGGATCCCAATGCCAGTAACCTGGCTGTTCATGCCGAGTGGCCCCCGAGTTCTAGCCTAATAGGGAGCAGATGGTGGGGAATGATGCTTCGTTCCCAGGAGTGAGGAGCTTGCAATATGGGTGTTTGAGATCCAGCCTGAAACCCCCTCATTTGATTCTGGGAGGCCTATAAGACTGGGCTTATGTCTACAGCTTCCCTTTGCCAAGCAATGGAGTGTAAATCATCCTCTGAGCTTGAGATGGCCCAATATTTCATGATGATTGTTGGTTTAGTCTTCAAATGGAGAAACATGACCAGGTAGGGCTTGTGTCAGGTACATGTGACCACGAACCTCAGTTCTGCAGGTCCCCTTATATCCGGTGGTTATTTTTCACATTTCACAGTAAAGGTGTTCCAGGATCTAATTGGTGAAGTTTTGACAACTGTTTAGTTAATTACGGAACATAAGGCGCCGGCTGGACCTCCCAGTGTCCTCCTGACCCTGAGTCTCTGTGAAAGTTCAGTTCATGTAAAGTAAACCAAAATCAGCATGACGTGCACATTGACATAACTGACTGGACCACTGCCAGAGGTCAAGTTGGGTAGACAAAGCCACAGTGCTTGGGGCTGCATTAAGCATTCCCATCATCCCCGTATCATTCCTCATCCTTGACCCATCTGCAGAGTGGGACGCCCATGCTGCGCAGGTTACACCAGCTTCCGATGCCATAAAGGTGGGCTCTGGGCCCCTGGGTGCCTCTGCCTCCATCAACATTGCTCTTCATTCGGCCCCCTTCTCTCTGCAGGCGTATTTTGTAACGGGACCTTTGATCAGTACGTGTGCTGGCCTCATTCCTCTCCAGGAAATGTCTCTGTTCCCTGCCCTTCATACTTACCTTGGTGGCGCGAAGGTAATAAGTCTTATTTTGCCAATTTCTGACAGTTTCCTGAAAGGCTGGTCCCTCCTGGGTAGACCAGCCAGGGAACAGTTAGAGACAGGGTTCCAACCAAGTGCTTTTCTCCAGTCCTCTCCTCCTGTGAAAGGTCTCCTTCGAAGCCATCAGTGATACCTCTTCCTTCTTCTCTCTGCTTCTCCTCTTGTCTTCCTGCAATTCTTCTGTGCCTGGATGTCCCATTAGTATAATAGTCCTCTTTTCTTTGAAGATTAGAGAGTCCAGGCCCAGCTACCACGGAATTTGCTGCAGTGAGGGTAAGAATTATCATTGTCACGGAGAAGAGAAAAAGGTGAGGGAGAAAGATTGGGACGCTCACATCCACACCACATTTGGCTTGTCCGATGCAGAGGAAGGATGTCAAAACTACCCTCACACTAGTATTGGAAGATGGTGCTATTGGACTGGCGCTTTTCAGCCCTATGGGACTTGGATGGAGCATTGAACCACTTAGCTTGCCCTGATCCTGCTTAGAAACAGTGACTATTACTTAGGACCCACCTCCACCTGCCCAGCCTCTTGGTTGTTTTATTCTGGAAGGAGAGAGAAACAATGACTGGTTAGAACTCTTTTGCCTTTGATTAAAGACCATGGACAAATTAAGAACAGGTAAAACTATTCTCAAGAAACATAAGCATCTACAAAGTTCCAGGCAAAACAATGTGAGAATGGGTTTCTGAGACGGCAAGATGGTGATATTTGGTATTCAATTTCAGCCCAAGAAATCATCACATCAGTTAAAATTTAGTTTCAATTTTTTGACACCTCTAGTGCAAAGAGAGAGTTTCAAAGGAAGATGCGTTCCTGGATGGCAGAGTTAGTGATGTATTTTATGGAACCGTCCTCTGGTGAAATCCAGTTGGAATCAGTGCAGGAAGCATGAGGATGTAAGGTTTAAGGGAAAGTGGAAGGGAAGATACTAGAGAGTTTGCTGGACCAGAGGGGTCAGCTCAGTGAGGAGGAAAGAGCACTGGACGTGGAGTCAGAAGCCCTGAGGTTATACCCTGTCCCTCTATTCTACACTCTGAGACTTTTGGCACATTCCCAGAACCCTCGGAGCTATGGGTTCTTTGTCTGTAAAGTGAAGTGAACAATAGCTGATCCTTAAAAGTGACCAAAACTCCAATGAAATTGAGTTAAAGGCTTTTTTTAAAAAATGGGTTCCCGGCTTCTGGAATGTACTGAAGGGAGTGGGATTTGCAGACGGTGGGAAGTCGCTCTTCCTCTCAACATTTCATGCAATAAATCTTTAGAGTCCAAATGGGTCCCTGCAGTAAAGAGAGAATGTGGAGCCAGTGAGGGGTTTAGAGAGGAAAGGATGGAGAAGAATTTTCGTGAGATGAGATCAGAGAAAGGAGCATTATAACATGAGAAGGGAGAGAACGTACCAGTGAATACAGGCTGTAACGGCATGTGAGACTGGAGATGAGGCTGGGGCTTGACTGTGAAGGAAATTGTGTATCATGCTGAGGGTTTTAAACCTTCGTCTGTAGGGACAGATTGCATGGAGCCGCTGAGGGCGTCAAGGCATGAGAGAGATGTAATAAGATCTGTGGTTTGGGGAGACGACGTTGAAAGCCTGTGGCTGCTGGACTCAGGAATGGAGGGGACCAGGGAGGCGAGTTTGGAAGCAGCTGCTGTGGTCCAGAAAAAAGAGAGGACAAGGATGTGGATGCAGGCAGAGGCAAGAGGGAGGAGAGAAGAGGAAAGAGTAAAGAAAATTACTGGAGGTAGAATAGTCAAGACGTCGTCAGATGAAGTGGGACTTGAGGGACAGAGAGGACTGGAAAGGGAAGGAGAGGAAAACGTTCCCACATGCCCCCCGCCCCACTCACACTCAGCCCTCGTCTGGTCGGGAGCCAAGTGCCCCGGCCCCTCCTCCCCTCCATCCCCCCACTGCCCATCATTGCCCTGGTTGCTGCTCCCCGTCTCCTCACTGGCCCCCTTCCAACCACCTCCACAAAGCTTTCTACAGTGCGCGTGGGATTACATCAGCCCCATCACAACACCGCTAAACGGTGCTCGAGGCCTTCCATCACCTGGCCCTGCTGACCTCTCCAGCATTTTCTCCCACCCCTACTCCAGCCCAACAAACAACTCCAGGCTCCTACACCTGCCCAGCTATTCCCACCCAGTGCCTTCGCTCACACTTCTAGCCAAGATGTCTCAAAGCTTCGCCCACACTTTTGTCTATAAATCCAACTTTAATTCTCAGCTGGAAACCTTCATTCTTCTAGAAAATTTCTGGGACTATTCCCCACAAGTACAACAGCCCCCTGCTTTTCTGAGGCCTCTTATGTACCTGTGCAGTCTTCTGTCTTAGCGTTTATAATACCTCGAGGCACTTTTATCACGCATCTCCTCCCCCCGCTAGACTTGGAGCTGTGCCTCCTTCGTCTCTGCATCCCAAGCACAGAGCATTACGGCTGGCATGGAAAGCACAAGTGTCAGGTGACATTATTGTCACTCACTCATTCAACAAATGTTTATTGAGCACCTACTGTGTGCCAGGCATTGTTTTATGTGCTTATGATATACTAGTGACCAAAACAGAATAAAATCCCTCTCCTCGTGGGACTAACATTCTAGCAGCGGAGACAGACAGTAATCAAGAAAGAGCATGAATAAGTATACAGTACGTTTGAATGTGATGTATTTTAAACAAGACAGGGTTAGGGGAAGGATGAGAGGAGTGGAATGGGGGTTGAGTTGTGATTGTACATTGCGTGGTCAGGGTGGGCTTCATGACAACGTGATGTCTCAGTGAAAACGTAGAGGAGGTAAAGGATTTAGCCAATAGGGGAAGAGCGTTCAGCAGGGAAAGAGACGATGAGTGCAGGTTATGCACTATTTGGGGAGCACGTCTGGTATGTTCCACAAAGAGCGAGGAGGCCGATGTGCCTGGAGTGAAGGGGAAAGAAAAACAATAGGAGGGTAGGTCAGAGAGTCCTGGGGGCCTGTGGGAGGGCACATCAGGACTCTGACTTGCTTTCAGAGAGCCAGTGGAAGATTTTGAGCGAGGCATGACTTGATGTAACTGACATTTTACTCACTCTGACTGCTGGGTTAACAATAGACCACGAGGATCAAGAGTATTGGAGGCGCTTGCGATAATCCAGGTGAGAGATAATGGTGGTTCCAGTTAGGGGGCAGCAGGAGGTGAAAACGGTGCTCAGATTTTGGATATATTTGAAGGTAGAGATGACAGGCTTGGTTGATGGACCGGATGAAAGGTATGAGAAACAGAAAGAAAGAAAGGATGACTCCAAGGCTTTGGGCCAGAGGACTGGGACGATGGGTTTGCCATCAACTGAAGAGGGAAAATGTATAGGTAGAGCAGGTTTGAGAGGATGAAGAGCTTGATTTAGGGCATGTTGTTTGAGATGTCAGTTAGACACTCTAGCGATGCTTTCAGGTGGGCTGGTGAAAGTACAATGTGGGCATCCATCAATTAAGTTCAGCAAATAGCTATTGTTGACCCACTACATGCAGGGTCAGGAGTAGGAAGTTCCAACAAATTTCCATTTCTCCTTTGCAAGTCCAGTCCCTGATCGCCCAGGTAGGAGGACTATCCTTTCGGGGAAGGGCTCCTGAAATAGATGTGACTGAGTCACAACAGCCATTAGCGTGGGCAGAGAGCTTTCCCTGTCACTTGCACACACATACTTTCATTCAATCCTCCCCCAAACTGCAGAGGGTTGGTACCATTATTCTCCCCAGTTCCTGATGAAGAAACTGGAAGGCTCAGAGAGTGGAAGGGCCCCGCCCAAGGCCACAAAGCTCGTAGGTGGCAGAGCAGGCTTCGTCCACCGCTGTCTCTTCCTCATGGCACCGCCTCCTGAGCATCAGGAAGAGATGTCCCACTGAGCAGACGCCTGGAAGCCCCAGGTCTGTGTCTCCCAGCTGGGCTGCACCTTGGAGGACTGTCACGTCCCTGAGTCACCAGGGACCGTTCTAGCTCCAGAGACTTTGGGTAAACAAAGCAGATATTAGCAGATCATGGTTTGTTACGAAATGTAGAGGCTTCTGTGCCTTTCTTCCCATCCCAAATAAACATAGGGATGCTAACGAGCCCCTAAAAGAGGAAGTGAAAATCCCTTTTCCCTGGGATTTTCCACAGCTTTGTGGTGAGGACTAGAGCCTTACCATGTACTCGGGGAACGGGCTGTGTGTTCTGACCTTTCCCCCAGAGCTGTGTTTACTTTCAGAGAACTCAGGAAGGGCCTACAGACACTGCTTGGCTTGGGGCACTTGGCAGACGCAGGAGAACTCCACAGATATTTGGCAGGACGACTCTGAATGCTCTGAGAACCACAGCTTCAAACAAAACGTGAGTCTGCTTGGCTGGGTGATAGCGCGCCCCAGGGACCGAGCCCCCTCCGCCAGGGCTCCCATGTGGCCAGTAGGTTTTAGGGGCCACACAATGAGCCTTCCCCCAGCTTGTCTGCCCCAGACTCCACTAGGGAAGGTCCACAATCACACAAAACAGCAACCCCTGTGGCTGCCACTGAATTACTTCTACCGCCAGGGTGAAATGTGAACCCTCAGGGATGTCAGTCTTCAGCGTCGGTCCCCGCCTTTGTGCTCACTGTTCCTCTGCCTGGAACACCTTTCCCCAGCTCTTCTGCAGCATCTCCCTCTCATCATTCAGGTTCCAGTCCAATGTCTCCTTCAAGGCGAAGGCTTCCCTGGCCACCCCATCAAGAGTGGCCTCCGTGTTCCCTTTCTATCCCTCCACCTGCCACCCCACTTAGTCCCTTCACCTGTCACTCTCCAACAAGCTTGTGTGTTTGCTTCTTTTTCATCTAGCCCCCTCATTAGAATGTGGACTCAGTGGTAGCCGGGGGCTTGTGTGCCTCAAGGGAACACACACCTGGTTCTGGGGTTCCGAGCCCAGGATCAAGGGCCAGACAGCCTGACTGCATGTCCAGACTCTTGGCTTGCTGGCTCTTCATACCCAGACCCTTCACGTCTCTGTGCCTCTGCGTCCCCATCCACCCCGCAGGGATCGTAGTTATTGCTTGCATTAGCTGTAAGGCTTTAAAGAGTTACCAGACATACCATTCTTCAGAGAGAACCTGACCGCTGGTCAGCACGCCTTAAGTAGGAGTGACTGCTCTGTCCCCAGGATCAGCGTGGTAACTGGGCAGCAGATCACCGGAGCTACTCAGCAAGTGTTTGTTGGGAAAACAACCAAATCTACACTCAGACTTCTCCCCACGTGTCTTCTTTCCGGGATCCTATTCTGCAGCCCCCTCAGGCATGGCTCTCTTCCGTTTTCTTGTTGGGCACTTACTCTTCTCCCCAAAGACCTTCAGTTTGTACAAATGCCGCCCACCTCCCTTCAAAGTGAAGTGCAAGAGGCAGCACGAATGGAGGAAAGTGTTTGGGGCGCAGACAGGTATCTAGGGCCGCATGCATCTTGGTTTCTTTTATTTAGGCGTGAAGCGCCTACTGTGTGCTAGAGTTTTACACTAGGCACTGGGCATAAACAGTGACTGAGACATGGATAGTGCCTTCAGGGGGCTTTGAGTCTCAGGAGGCATGGAGACAAGCTGGAGATCTGGAAAGATGCAGCCTTAAGGAGTTAAGACTCTGCACAGTCAAATAGGGGAGGGGCATACCTCTAAGTAGGCTTTGAAAGGATGTGCCGGCAAGTAGGAGAGAGGTCAGGAATGGCGCCAGGCTGGAGGCAGAGACAGGGAGAACAGGCAGCAGCCATTGCGATAACTCAGCCCAGATACGGAGAGAATGCCAGTGGGCGTGGAGGGAAGAGGGAGGCTGGACTTACAGGTCACCGAGGAGGGAAATGTAGGATCAGGTGCTGCGGGGGGAGTGAGAGGGTACAGTCAAGGGCAACAGAAATCCCAGGCGTCTGGCTCGGGCCCACGAGGAGCTCTGAAAGGCCCCACACTGAGATGGGAACACGGGGAGAGTCACCTCTCCTGGGTTCTACATATTTCACCACCTAATTCTTTGCCCTGACTCGAGACTGCGAACTGCACCCCTCCCCCTGCCTCCAAGTTGTGGCTCGTTTCTTTCACAATTTAGTTGGATTTTGAAATTCTTTAGCTTTCCTAAGTCATTTTAATATTTTCCTATCAAACACTAAAGATATTTTAATAACGTTTGGAGATGGGGAAAGTAAGGAGTTTAGTTCTAGAAACACTATCTGTGTGACGTAAGCCACTTAACTTCTCTCCACAAAATGGGGTTGATAATGCCAACTTTGCCCAGGCTGGTGGTGAGTCTTGAGAGGGATATGAGGGTGGAGTGATTCATGTATGTCCTGGTGCCCACTCGGTGCTCGAGAGCTACAATTATTGCTTTTCCTCTCCTCAGAATGTCTTCCCTGGTGCCCAACAAACAAAATTCTCTCCGTCCCCAGGCCTCTCTCTGGTCCACTCCTAGGGCAATGGTCACAGACTACTTATCAATGTGACATTTTCGTGTCTGAGGGTGCCTTTTCTGTAGTGGCTACTTGGGTTTATTTTAAAAATAGGCAATATTTCATTTGACTTTCAAAAATCAAAAAACTAGTTTTGTGTTAAGATTTATATATATACGCACACAAATATATCTCCAGTAAATTTTAATACTTTCAGGAAGGTCTTTGATTAATTTTTGGTGCCACTTACAAACTAGTTATTTCAATGCCCTTTTACTCTTTGAGTTGCATTAATACATTTAAGATATTAGATGCTTTAAATATTTTAAATATATCATAGCTACTGTATTTGTTATAACAAGCAAACCTTTAATTCTTAAGTAATTCTAGTTCATTGAATGCATCAAGCTTAAATTTTCTTAAATAAGTCAATGCTGTTTTCACTAAGTTTCCAAGTTAAACTTAAAGTTGAGTACTTATTGGCTTATTTCATATTGGAATCATAATACTAATACCAATCTTCTAATATGCTATATTCTCTAAATGTTAATACCAAAGACATACAGATTGTGCAGATAATTTTAAAAGCCTATATGAGGGATGAATAGAAGGATGGATATGTGATGATGCCAAGCAAAGTCTTGATAGAAGAATCCAAGTGGTGGGTGTGCAGGGTTCTTGATAAAATCCCTTCACCTTCTCTGTGTGTTTGCCCACCTGGCTGTAGTTCACTTCCCTCAGAGCATAGAGGGAGCTGGCATGTCCTTGGCTCCCTTAAGTATATCACATCTTCCCATCCGGCATGAAGAGCCTCCCATTGGATCCTCTACGTCCACAGGGAATTCTTTCTCAAGCTCTTTTTAACTTTATTATGGATTTGAGTTGACAGACTTCTGTGTTCCTTATACAGTTTAACCATGTGACAGGTCACACCTCGTAAAGGTCGTAAAGCGACACCTGTGGTTGGATTGGATTCAGCTTATCTCAAGAATTTGTCTGACTTTTGTCACAACACCAAACTCCTGCTAATTGCGTGCCTTGAATTAGGCAAATTGTATGTATTTCTTCTCTTCGCTCCTGGCCTGAGCTGCTTGAGGACAATGACAAAGTCACAGTTATATCGGAATACCTGCCACCCCCTGGAGTAGTACTGAGGTGCACAAAGGCGTTTACATACAGTGGACACTTAATAAGTCCTGAATGAATGGTTTCACAGATTCTGAGTCAGTGGGTCTGTGGTGGGTCCTGGACATCAGCACTGGTGCTAATGTTCCCGGGTGATTCTCCGGTGCAGTGAGGCTGGGAACTGAGGTGTTAGGGAGGAATTCACCAGCAGGGGTGAAATGCCTGTGCTTCCCCTGGGCTTCCTCTGCAGTGGCCACATCAGCGACAGGGACAGCAAAACAGAATCTGAAACCTGCACTTTCCAAGACAGGAAGCGAGGATTTCTCTCCTTAGAAAAATGAGGGCAAGGGCATTGCCCCCTCCCCTCTGCAAATGGCCCTATTTCCAAGAATTCAAATACTTAAAAAAAAAAACAACTTCAGCCCATGTTTACCTGTGTTTCTAATAGAGGGTTGAAATTTTGCCCAAAAAAGGCTAATGTTAGTAAATCTTTGCCCTTCAGAGTTTTGGCAAAGAAAATATGTTATGTTCTTTCAATCGACAACACACTGGGGGTCCTTATGAGCAACAAATGGTACTTTTTAAGGAGATTGTGTATGTGTGTATATGTGTGTGTGTGTGTGTGTGTGTATGCGCACATGCATAAGTTTTAACAAGTATTTTTAGATTCCTTGGTATAAAATTGTGTTTAGTAGTGTCAAAATAAATTATCTCGCCTTTATTCAAGCTGTTTTCTTTGCCCTTAAAAAAAGTGCCTTTTATGCTCAAATAAGGAATTTAATTGATATATATGTTTATAATTTTAATATATATAATTTTAATGATAAATTTTAATTTTCAATATAAATTATATATCAATTGATATATGTCTATTTTTCCAACATTTTATTTTGAGATATCCAAACATATAGAAAAGTTAAGAGAGTAATAAAATAAACACTCATAGATCCACTATCTAGATTCAAAATGTGTTAACATTTTGCCACATTTGCTTTCTGTCTCTCTCTTTCTGAAATATTTGAAAACAATTTGAAGACATCATGAGATTTCACCCCTAAATATCCATCAGGTGCTTCCTAAGATTAAGGACATTATTCCACGTAATTACAATACCATTATTCCAACTAAATAAAATTAACAGTAATTTCATTATATCAACTGATGTGTCATCCGTGTTCAAATTTCCCCAATTGTTCCCCCCAATTTTTATAGCTTTTCTTTCCTGGACCAGCATCTAATCCAGGTTTATATATTGCATTTAGTTTTATATCGCTTTAGTATCTTTTAATCTAGAACAGTCCTCCTGCTCTCCCTCTTCCCCCGCAACCTATGACATTGGCTTTTTGAAGAGACCAGAAAACTGTTGTAGAATGTCACACAATCTGCATTGTTTGACTGTTTCCTCGGGTTGTCATTAAATGTGCTCCTCTGTCTTCTGTATTTCCTGTAAGCTGGAAGTTAGGTTTACAGGCCTGGTAAGATTCAAGTTAGTCCTCGTAGGTGCTCTGTAGGTCGTATAGCATCACATCAGGAGACCAAAATGGTGGGTGTCACACTATGATGATGTTACATTGATCATTGGTCAAGGTAGTGACAGCCAGATCTCCCCGTGGTAAAGGTGCATTTCTCCTTCTGTCTTTGGTCAGTAATGGGTGGGGTGATACTTTGGTACCGTGTGTTTATCTTGTTCCCTAACAAACCTCCGTCAGTGTTTTAACCTTCGTTGATGATGCTTACTTGAAATGAAGCAGGCTCTAGCATTCCTTCTACATTTACTAGCTGACGGTCTTCTGAAAAGATGACCTCTTCCTCCTATG